GATGGTACGGGTGATGGTTTTGGCCGTCATATGAAATAAATTGGCAATTCAATATAATGACAAATTAATATGAACAATAAAATAGAGTAATTTAACAATTTTAGTCTTATCTTGTTCATTTTTGCTATTATCATTTCAATTTTACCCACATTAAAAGTAAAGGGATATGTTACAAAACCACATTTAATACTCCACAAGTAGTCCCCCCACCCCCGCCTTCTAACGGGTTTCTCAAGAGGTCTGCCGCCTATAGCCCTCATAAATAGGTGCCGACATTCAAGTTGCTCATCGGTTATACCAAAATTGTGCTTGTCAGTTTATTTTGATTTTTGGACTTGTTAATTAATCGTAAATGATTAGTTTATTTATGTCTTATTTTTCGAAATGATAATAAATTAAATATTTTTATCATAATAAGCTGTCACTAATTATAATATTTTTTAATACTACTTATATACAGTACAGTATTAATATTAAATTAATATTAAATCAAAATAATAAAATACGGCATACAAAAACATTATAATAAAACTTATAAACAAAAATTAATTCTTTCAAAGTTTTAATAAAAAGTGGAATATATACAGTGGATAGCAATAACTAGCGCATAGTTTACAAATTGTTTTAATAGGTACTAGCTCGTTCATAAATATATTGTACAAACTTAAAATTTCAAAAAGTTTTATAATAAACTAATTATTAATTTAAAATAATTTTATTATTGATATTCTGAATTAGTTATGAAATAATTATGTGCAGAGAATATAGTTATTAAAAGTTTTGAAATATTAAAATAATATATACTGCATATTATTATTATTAAGAATATCATTATTGGTATAAATAGTAAAATTTTCATAAAATATAAATAAATAAAGTTATAGAAAACATTATAAATATAAAGTAGGTTAATAAGAATTTTGAAATTCTTTACTAAAGAATATTTTTAAAAAAGTGCGATATTATAAAACTACAGTATTTACGGTAAGGTATATAAATATTTTTATTACTATGTTTTATAATGTTTCCATTTAAAAATTTATTTAATGTGATATGATGCATTGATTTGCTATTGATTAATCATTGTCAATGATAATTAGCAGTGATTAATCAATAACAGATCAATATAATGTCAATTAAGCTTATAATATAAAATACGGCACATTTAAATATAATACAAATGTACATTTAAATTATGTATGTTGTTTATAAAACAAATTCATAATATTATTCAACATAGAAATATTTAAATGTTTTTATTTAAAAATATTTATTTTATTAAAAATTAAACATCATTGATAACCTCATACAAGTTAGTTAACCTAGTATAAAATGTATTTTAAATGTATAAAAAATATGTTTGTTAAAGTTATATCAAAATTCTTATTAAACTATATTTATCGGAAATTTAATCATTTATTTCACGACAACAGTGTCCATAGGATTAACATGGCTTTGGATTTGACGGGGTTTGAAGTATTTGAAAAGTATTGTACAGAACACTACTGTTTAGTGTCACCAGGTTTTGGGGCATACGTCGAAAACCGGACATTTTCCCGAAGTAATTGGAAACGTATTGTTTTGTCAATACTATTAAATGTAGTGTACCTAGTTAATTTATGCAGCTATTTGATTGTGTCATATTATAATACTGAATGGATATATGGGTTCTATGGTGGCCTTTTCCTAACTTCACCCAGGCCAGATATTATAGCCATTTTATTTGCATTAATATTTTTATTGCAACTTTCAATTCGTAAGTATTAGATTTTAATTATATTTTTTATAAAAATATTAATTTAATTTAGAACATAAAACTAAATATAAATAAAAGTTATAACTTGGTTATTTTAGAATTGTTAAAAAATAATTTTTAAATTAAAAATAAATAAATTATACATTTAATTATTTAATTATATAAAATGTACACTAATAAAATTAAATATAAAATGTTTTATTTAATTTCAGATACAGCGAATATGTTACTAGAAAACAATCATTCAATGACCATGCTAATATTTTTGAACGATTGCATATCAAAACCTCAGAAATTACTGGTCAAGTCTCATTATTTGACCAATATGTACTCGCTGGCAAATAAGTCCATAAAATTGACAATTATATCAGCAAGATCGTTAACAGTATCATCAGTAATTGGTGGCTGGGTAATGGCATACCTTTCTTATACAAAGTTTAATTATGGCTTAATTAATTCACTGTTCTGGAACAGTTTAATTACAATTCACATATATAATTCAATCCCACTTTTATTCATAATGACCGAGCTTATATACCTGACTACAACATATTGTCGGCTATGTTTTAAGCAAGTGATTGCAAAATTTGATAATTATCTAAAAAATCGTTTAAATACAAAAAATAAATACATTTACCTAGAAAACTGTATTAGGGAGTTTAATGATTATTGGAAATTAGTAACCGAGTTAAATATTAGGTTTCGTACAAAGTTTTGCGAGGTACGATTTATTCAGCAATGGATAGAGATATTGAATATATTTTTAACCGTCAACTATGGTTTATACTTTTATGTATTCTCCCGAAGAGACTACTCGATTGGAGCACCGGTAGCTTTGCACAGGTAGCTTAAATGTACAGCAAAAACTATAAGTCCTAGAAAGACAAGCGACATATCGTTGGAAAGAGCATGAAAAATGATCGAACCCGTCTATCGGGATTTCCCTGGTAAATTGATCAATAAGGGACTGGAAGACCCGGTAAGAAAGAATTTCGAATAAAATAAAGATAAATAAAAATAAGATTAAATCTGACTAGACAATCATAATGTGCTTCAAAAGGAGATAAGTTTAGCATTTTAAACTTTTAAGATATCTTGAGAAATAACTAATCTAGGGCAAATCAAAAACCTTATGTTTTACAGATTCATGAAAATTGTTACAAATTTTGAAGTTATCTAGCTCACGTATTTATGGAGATATTTATAAAATTCCAAATTCAAATGCTATTCATTTTTTGAGTAGATCTTAATGACCTAATCAGATCTTGACTTTATCATAATTTTTGCAAAATCATGACCTACGGGGCCGCCCTGTCCCTTATTGATCAATTTACCAGGGAAATCCCGATAGACGGGTTCGATCATTTTTTATGCTCTTTCCAACGGTATGTCGCTTGAGAAAGATCCTGAATATCAAAAACGACATGTAAATTCGATGGACACGTTTCGATGGCCACGAGGTTAGGTCATCAGAGAAGCCCTCTTATGTATTTTCGTATTTGGTATCAACTGCTTTAAAAATATATTCAATATCTCTATCCATTGCTGAATAAATCGTACCTCGCAAAACTTTGTACGAAACCTAATATAATAACTTTTTATTAATGAGCTTTAATTTATATTATTAATATATGTAATTAAAAAATTAAATTATTGATTAATACCTGAAACTTCCGTTAGAAAGGGCTCGACGTTCATGAATAAGGCATCGATTAAATGATTTAAAAAGTCTTTTGATTTTACATTTGTAGTCGATTTAAATGCACATAAAATTGAAATGATTGCAAAACTTAAATAAAAACAAACCCAAACATATGAATCCAAACCATTGAACACATTGTTATTATACTGAGTCTGTGAGCGTTCAATGCCTACGATTGAGATCTGGTATGAGATCCTTGTGCACGGAGTGTACCGTAAAAATTGATAGCCTTCTTGACTTTGTGCGATATTATACAATAATATATCGGATACCTTGTTATAAAAATTAAATTGAAATAATAAACACAAATAATTAAATTAAATTGTAATCTGCAATAAAAAAATTTAAAATATATAGATAATACATTTTTCGTGAATAAATTATAAGCCCGCCCAACAACGCTGTAATCGATATAATTAGAAATGCTGACATTGCATTTAAGCCAACGATTTATTAGCTTCCACAACCAGAATGCACATGTTTGTATGTATATTTCACCCCGAGTATCCTTTTCAAACTTTAATAAAAATAAAAATAAATAAACTTTATTAAAGTAATTTCCCTTAGATCTTAAATAATGATAATATGATAATAATAATGATAATGATAATAACGATAATAATAATTACCGGTGAAAAGTTTGTTACCCTGACCGTACAGTTAAATGTGTTCACATGATTAAATTCACTTATAATCTTTTTGACATTAACCCGTTGACATTGTGTCATATTTATATAATTTGTACACTGCTAAAATTGAGTACAAGTCAAATTTTGTTATGTTAAAGTGTAAGATAAGTTATGTTTTACATTAGAGATATGATAGTCCAATTGTGGCAACAGTTTGCACTAAGCAAACGCCAAACATAAACTATTGAGTTTGTAAAATACCGTGGCCTATTTGCTAGTATATGTGAAATAAATACATCAAAATACAAACGTTTGAATAACTTATAAAACTATTTTTACTTGTCAGTGTATATCTTAATAAACGTTTTGCATTATACAGTTATTATTGAATAGGAATTAATTGATTCACTTATAATATAATTATTATTACATTAAGAATATTACATTACAATAAAGGAGATTATGAAATTGAATATTGCTATAGATATTTATATTTATACAAAATTGTGTTAAAAACCTTTTAATAACATTTTAGTTGAATAACATCTTTAATAAATATTCATATATTACTGACAATAATGAAATAGTAAGTCCTATTAATTGTAATTTAAATTCAATAAATAAGTCATTAATAAGATTCGGTGCGAGCGATGGGTTTTCAATAACAATGTCGCATCGATTTGAATGTTTTGTTTCATTGTATATAAGCCAACCCTCTTGTCCTGTCCCTCACATCCCACTCTATTGTGGCTCGCATTCTCATTAAAAACATTTTTATATTAATTTATTATTTTTTAATTATCATTAAAACTCACAATTGATTATTGAATCCCTTTTGTAGCGAAATGTCAAGAGTTTTGCGATTATAGACATAAGAGACTAAATACTGTAGAAAACATTTTTCGGTTCCGATTTATAACGGGATCTGATATTTATCTCGCAATGTCTTCACGTATTCATTGGCGTCATCCTCTCTATAGAGTAAGACATGACTTCCGGCCACCACTTTGTTTGTGACATTTTCCGAGGTTAAAACATCAGGGTACACCAGTTTTAATCGGGTTATATTACCATTACGTTTCTATTAAAATACTTTATATAGAAGTTATTGGTTGAAAACAAATAAACTACAAACCAGTTGCTGACCGGCCGCTGAGTTTTGTATGGCATAACCCGTTATGTCGTTATCATTCAACTCATTAAATGTATTGAGACGTAACTTTTTATTATCAACCAATTTGGCCAGGATAGTCGCATTACATGTCTCGTGAATGAGATGAGATACAAACGCCCAGAAAATTATTAGCAAGCTTATTTTACCATAAGTCTTGTAGGACCTGATAACTTTATCAATATTATAAATTGTAAATTAAGTATTATAATAATTTATTATTAATGAGCTTTAATTTATATTATTAATATATGTAATTAAAAAATTAAATTATTGAATAATACCTGAAACTTCCGTTAGAAAGGGCTCGACGTTCATGAATAAGGCATCGATTAAATGATTTAAAAAATCTTTTGATTTTACATTTGTAGTCGATTTAAATGCACATAAAATTGAAATGATTGCAAAACTTAAATAAAAACAAACCCAAACATATGAATCTAAACCATTGAACACATTGTTATTATACTGAGTCTGTGAGCGTTCAATGCCTACGATTGAGATCTGGTATGAGATCCTTGTGTACGGAGTGTACCGTAAATATGTGAACCCTTTTGGTGTTTGCACGATATTATGCAATATGATGTCGGTCAACTTTGTAAAAGTGTTTTAAATGAGCATGATTATTAACTATATTTGACAATTCACATTTCCCTTATTAAACATACATTATTTCCAATGAGATTTCTAGCTTTCCGGTAATCAATTAAATTAGTAATATTGAGATCACACTTAAGCCATTGATTAATGAGTTTCCACAGCCATACATAACACGAATAAAAATATTGTTGACAAGATTCATCCGTATTAATCTAAATAATTGTATAATATATTATAGTGAATAGGAAACATTTTTACATTATATTAAGAACATTGAAAAAATAATAATTACCGGAGTAAATATAAGTAGTCTTAACGTATAATTAAATGGATTCAGTTTATTTCCAAACCACAGAGGTTTATGTTTGAGCAGTATACATTTTTCCATAATTTTTTATTTATAAATTTATATAATGATATTTATACGGATTTTACTTTAATAATTTTAAAAATATTTTTTATAAATTACTAATTAAATGATAAATAATAATTATTAATTTACTAACCACTAGTAAATATTGAAATAAGAAAATATTTATTACATACTAATCATACTAAATTTTGATATGCTACATTAAAATTCAATATACTGCATAAAATGTATATTGCAAAATGCATAAAAATTAAAATAATGTTGAGTATTTTATTTCATTTGAAAAAAATATTATAATGTACTGTAGATCATTTACATAATAATAAATGCAATATAAATGAATTTATATTTTTATCTGTAAGTAAAATATTGTATCGATTGAATTAAATTAGAATTATCAATAGATTAAACTATAATAAAAGCAAATGATAGAAATTACTTTTTAAACTTTTATAGCATTTATAACTATTTAAAAGTGAAAATATAAAAAATTACTTTTAAATTGCAAAATAAATCTTTGAATCGAAAAGAAAAGTCATATATATTAAGTTAGAATCGTTATTATACACAATAATACTGTATTATGAATCAAATTTTCAATAATTTAAAAGCAATTTTATATATTCAGTACAACTTTCCGATACTGTTAACAACATCGAAATAGTGAGTCCAATTAAATGTAATTTAAATGCAATAAACAAGTCATTAATGTTTAACACTCTGTGGGGTCGATGGGCTTTCAGTAGTAATCTCTCGTCGATTTGAATATTTTGTTTCATGTTATATAAGTCAACCCTCTTGTGGTGTCCCCTCACATCAGACTCTATTACGGCTCGCATTCTAGTTATGAAAATATATTCAATATAGTTATCTAATAAATTTTTTTAGTTTGTTTTCAAATTATTAAGAGGCTTTAAATACAGTGTAACTCACAATTCATTGAATCTCTTTTGTAGGTTTAAGTGCAATGTTTTGTGATTATAAACATAAGACACTAAATAGAAAAATAATTTCTCGGTTCCGATGTATAACGGGATCTGATATTTGTCTCGCAATGTCTTCACGTATTCAATGGCGTCGTCCTCTCTATAGAGTAAGACATGACTTCCGGCCACCACTTTGTTTGTGACATTTTCCGAGGTTAAAACATCAGGGTACACCAGTTTTAATCGGGTTATATTACCATTACGTTTCTATTAAAATACTTTGTATAGAAATTATTGGTTGGAAACAAATAAACTACAAACCAGTTGTTGACCGGCCGCTGAGTTTTGTATGGCATAACCCGTTATGTCATTATCATTCAACTCATTAAATGTATTGAGACGTAACTTTTTATTATCAACCAATTTGGCCAGGATAGTCGCATTACATGTCTCGTGAATGAGATGAGATACAAACGCCCAGAAAATTATTAGCAAGCTTATTTTACCATAAGTCTTGTAGGGCCTTATAGCTTTATCAGTTTTATAAATTGTAAATTAAGTATTATAATAACTTTTTATTAATGAGCTCTAATTTATATTATTAATATATGTAATTAATAAATTAAATTATTGATTAATACCTGAAACTTCCGTTAGAAAGGGCTCGACGTTCATGAATAAGGCATCGATTAAATGATTTAAAAAGTCTTTTGATTTTACATTTGTAGTCGATTTAAATGCACATAAAATTGAAATGATTGCAAAACTTAAATAAAAACAAACCCAAACATATGAATCGAGTCCATTGAACACATTGTTATTATACTGAGTCTGTGAGCGTTCAATGCCTACGATTGAGATCTGGTATGAGATCCTTGTGCACGGAGTGTACCGTAAAAATTGATAGTTTTCTTGACTTTGTGCGATATTATACAATAATATATCGGATACCTTGTTATAAAAATTAAATTGAAATAATAAACACAAATAATTAAATTGAATTGTAATCTGCAATAAAACAATATAAAATATACAGATAATACATTTTTCGTAAATAAATTATAAGCCCCTCCAACAACGTTGTAATCGATATAATTAGAAATTCTGACATTGCATTTAAGCCAACGATTTATTAGCTTCCACAACCAGAATGCACATGTTTGTATGTATATTTCACCCCGAGTATCCTTTCCAAACTTTAGTTAAAATAAAAATAAATAAACTTTATTAAAATAATTTCCTTTAAATCGTAAATAATAAAACAGTTTATGAAATAATTACCGGTGAAAAGTTTGTTACCCTGACCGTACAGTTAAATGTGTTCACATGATTAAATTCACTTATAATCTTTTTGACATTAACCCATTGACATTGTGTCATATTTATATAATTTTTACACTGCTAAAATTGAGTACAAATCAAATTTTGTTATGTTAAAATGTAAGATAAGTTATGTTTTACATTAGAGATATGAGAGACTACAGACTACTATACATTAGAGACTATTAAGTTTGTAAAATACCGTAGCCTATTTGCTAGTATATGCGAAATAAATTCATCAAAATACAAACGTTTGAATAATTTATAAAACTATTTTTACTTGTTAGTGTATATCTCATTAAAGTTTTGCATTATTTAGTTATAGTAATTATTGTATAGGAATTAATTTATTCAGTTATAATATAATTATTATTACATTAAGAATATAATTACAATAAAAGAGATTATGAAATTGAATACTGCTATAGATATTATATTTATACAAAATTATGTTAAAAACCTTTTAATAACAGTTTAGTTTAATAACATCTTTAATAAATATTCATATATTACTGACAACAATGAAATAGTAAGTCCTATTAATTGTAGATTAAATGCATTAAATAAGTCATTAATGTTTAAGAATCGGTGCGAGCGATGGGTTCTCAATAACAATGAATATTTTGTTTCATTACTATAAGCCATTACTGTATTAATATATATAAGCCAATGTTTCAATAAATCTATTTCCTTCATAATAAACTCTATATCAAGTCTGTACTGTATATCAAACATAAGCAATAGTAATTGATGTTTTAATTATTATTTAATTATTGATGGATTTTGCATATAATATTCTTTCAATAAAACATTGTTTGATCACCTAAGGATTTGATATATACTAGGTTTTAATTAGTATCTCATACACCATTTAATACAATTTATTTTATTGAAAATATACAGATTCATAAAAATGTTTAGATATATTATACTAATATTAATATAATATACATAATATTATACTTTATGAAAACTTGATATTTATAACAATATAAAGTTTGTTATAAAATCATAATAAGATTAGTAATTGTATTGATTGTAAATGATAGTAAATATTGAAGCAATTAGTATAACAAACGATAAATAAATAGAGGGACTAATGTTACGTATGGACTGTTGCACGGACATCGTATGGAAACTAATGCCCGTGGTCATATTCTTATAGGTGAGTTGACATTGGTACATTCCTGATGTATATCTAGTGGCGTTATTTATTCTCAGGTTAATCCGTGGTGGGTTAACGGTTGCCTGCACCCAGGTTAAATTCTTAATGCCATCAGTCTTATCAAATGTGCCTGCATAATAATAAGCATTATAAATATAATAAAGTTTTATTTATAACGAATTAAATGAATCATACGTTGACCAAGATAGTTGACCGAGGCAAATACACGATGATCCTTGGTCAGTGCCAACTGGATAAGACCCTGTTTGCCAGCCATTAATTGTGTTTCACAATAGACACTAATACTGCCGTTTGTTTTGAATACTCTGGGCGCCACCGTTAGCTTAACTAATAGTGAATTAAGCAAGGTAAAAAGTGATTATAACTAAATATTAATAAAAAATAATAGTTTCAAAACAATTAATACCTTTGGGCGGAGGTTCGGGCTTTTGCGTGACATACATGGGAACGGGAGGTCTAGTCATGTCGTCAGTTATGGAGATCTTTAGCTTTTTGGCGTAAAATTCCTTATTTTTGTTGAAATATACGATACATTCATAAGTGCCGGACGTTGTCTTATTGGCATTCTCTATGCTAAAATAGCCCGGTCCTTTATTGTGGATTTTATTCACGCCATTCACCTTGGTAAATGTCGGGTCTGAATAGCGAACAAAATGTTAATTAAATTTATAATAATTTTTGAATACAATACTTACGAGATTTAGTTTTATTATTGAATTGATAGAAAAGTTTGCTGTCTTTATAAATACTAAAACCCGAGAAAAACTCTTTCTTAGGGTTTAAGGTGTAATTACAACGGAGATCAAAGTTAACAGGGTGTTTTGATGTCTGGGTGGCTTTGAACGTAAGGTTAGCACAGTTGACACCTCTGACAACAAGCACATTTGCCACATATACTAGGAATATGATGTTTATGGTTGATATGTAGGTCATAATTATTCATATATTAATTTGTGACACTTGTTTTATTAAAGGTTTATTTAAATTTATTATTATTGATAGCACCGACAACAAATTAATGATAATGATCAAGGTACTGGTATAAGAATTTGAATTTATGCCAACATATATATGCTCCAAATCACTGTTTTATGTTATTTATTTTTAAAATGTTTTTGTGTATACATGGGGTGATTAAATAACATTAAGTTTCGATTGCATAATACATATGAAATAACATGACTCTTATGTTGTTATCAAACTTTGAATACATTTATAGCCGTTTGAAGTCTTTGTTTTAATGTTATTTTGTTATATTTATCAAACGATAAGCTGAATCACACCACTTATTGTGTATCATATCACAATAGTCTATAATTGTATATTAATTAGTACTGCACTATAATTCACTATTTAATAAAGTAATTATATTTAAATTAAATGTAGAATTTGAGAAAAACAATTTATATAAATGAAATTAACTTTATTTAAGTGAACATAACTTTTATATTTACTTAAAAGTATACATTCCGGTAGTCGACTGGTTAAACATTTCTTGATAATAAGTTTTAATTAATAAAATTTAAATAATTTTAAAAGAATTATTTGTGAAAAATATTTAATTAGTAGATCAGTTGCTAATCACATGTCATTGATAAATAAAAAATTATATATTGATGATATGTAAATAAATATTATGTTCTGATAATTGGATAATAATTATGATGTATAATTATTTAATTTATAATATAGATGATCATGATAAATTAATTTTAAATGTGTAATCTCCCTGATCAGATCGGGAATAGTGTTTCTATCCCTACGACTAAATCCAAACACAATCCTGTGTTCAATGAAAAACAATTCAATCAATGAATTCAATAAATTTAGAAATTTTCCGCTCGCTTTGCAAGCATCAGGGTATTTAAGTTGCAGGTATCGTTTCAGTAAATGCATGTAAATTTTCTGTTCCATCCTGGTCACATTTAATATTATTTTTATATTTAGGTCATATTTTATTTGGTTAAGTTATACACTCACTTGATTGTATCAACATTCTCGAGCCCGGCGTTATCAGGGTTAAATAATACAATAGCGGTCATCTATGATTAATATTAAAATTATCTAGGTTGATTAATATACTAAATGCATAATAAATGTATCACTTATAGCTCACCAGGTCAAGTATATTTTGGTCCGAGTCAATCTCGTGTTTTAATTTTGTGAGATACTCTTTAAATCTAGAGTAAACTCTAGTACTACTGCGACTGTATCTCATTGTATCCAGCTTAATCTGGAAAACTTTCCCATTATTCTGTAGATAATTCAAGTAATACAATATTTATAAATTTATAAATATATACTGTATATAGTTATTATTTAGAGTAATAATCTTAAATTATAATTATTACAATTAATAATTACTGACCAGGTCCATATACCAACATCCATCATCGGGGTTATAATAAGATACCGATCTCATAGCAAATAGCTGAATGCTCGAGTTCTTGATTAGGTGAATGCGATCATGCTCAGATATGTTATTAAAACTGACCAGTCTCTTTGAGAAATTGACCACATTTTTGATCTCTTGAACGCATTTAGTATCGGCGGTCATAAAGATTTCATCAGTAGTCTCGGGTATGACTGTCGGTGCCGTCAGTACATTCCTGAGCAGTTTGGTTGCCGTAAATAATTCATTCAAACGACTCATTTCCATCTCATTAAATGTTTGTCGCCTTTCACTGATAGGCATTGCGATGGGAATCACCGATAACTCCAACTCCACGGCCCGTTCATAGATTTTGGAAAATATATTTGATAGGCCTTGCTCAAATTTACGGTATTGACATTGAAAATTGTCATCAGATATAGCTAGACCACGAGATTGATTATCTTGTTGAACGTCTGGAGTGGTTGATGACACTAGTGTACTATCATTGGTGGTGCAACAGTCCTCCAGATCACGTTTGATCTTGTTGAATTCAATTTTTAATTTGCGGGACTTTTTAGCCTCGTCATCCCATATAAAGTCCTAAAATATATGATTGATTTTACTTTAAATCTAATAATTACTATTTTATGTATGACATGCCTTTCTCATGCCTACTGCAACGCATTTATTTAGTCGACAAAAAGCACATAGTCGTCGCCTGTCTATGTTTATCACACAATTACCCTGGTATCTGCACCGAGTAAATTCCTGTTTAAAAATTAAATAATGTATTAATATGTAACTTAAATTAGTTCAGGGTGTCTATAAGAATATACTTGAATTTTGATCAGGAAAATTTGTATTTAATATATTAATTGGTAGTCACCTAACTGAATAATTATAAATAACTAGTACATGGGTCATTATTATAAATAATTTGTTCAGTAATGCAATATTCATTGCTATGATAACCCAAACTGTATTACTAAGGTACTATTCTAAAAACAAATGAAAATTAATTGATTTTATAATTACTTTATATGCATTTCTCCTGAAAAATGCTTTACACGACTCACACGTAAGTGCATTGAAATTATAGCCTAAATTAAAAACAAAATATGTTATTATTAATAAACATATTTAAATTATTTTTAATCAAAATCTATTGTTTATGAAAGTATCTGGGTTATACTGTACATACCTGTTGCCTGGTCTCCACAAATAACACACTCCTTATTATTAATTGATGTATTTTTGGGCATTTGTTTTAAATTGTCGTAAAATATATACAGATTTTTAAAATGAAAACAAAATTTCAATTTCTTAAATATTGAGATAATGGTGGCGAATGTGATCTAATAAAATAATGTTAAGTTTAAGTGCATTACATAGCAATGAATTAATTTTTTTTCAATTGACATTACAATTTTGTATTAGTATTTACTGTAACACCATTTGTATGCTTAACAACTGATTAGATATGAAAAGTTAAGGTATAATTATAATCAATGTTCATTAATATGGTCTTAAAGCATATTTAATACAATATAAACGCAAACTAATCTTGCACTACAGTTACATAATGTCTAAAATATTGTAATTTAAATTTTAATAAATTATTGAATGCTAATATATAAATAGTGTATTGGGCAAGAATCTCATAATTAATTAATATATTTATTGATAAAAACTATTTTAGTATTTTGTCACTAAGTTATTCATAGATTTGTTATAATATTATTATTGATTTAAAAGTGTAAGGGCTAGGAATATGCGGACAGGTCATTCTGATCAGTAAGTTTATTATCGGACTGATATTTTATGTGACCGGTATTATAATTTAAAGGTGTTGTTTGCAATTATCAATTGTGTTAGTTTTATTTATTACAATTTCATCTTAATGTAACATTTTAATATGCAACATATCATTATATTCAACACATCAGGGCTAAACCTGATTATAAATTCCAATTATATCGAGGGTCATAAATACTCTGGTCCCGAACCTTTTGTTATCAATATTAAAAGCGTTGAATAATTTTTCTAATTTATAAAAATAAATGAAATCATGCGGTTGTTCATTATATTGTACCTGTACACATTTAAAATAATTTTACTATTATTGCAACATATTGCACTAAAACTAAATCTATTTTTACTTAAGTTATTAACTGATTTTATCATGAAAAATAAATAATTTTAATTTCGTACATTATTACTTATGTATAAAAAATTTACAAAGTACATTAAGTGCTAATTGATTGCATTACGACCTTAAATGTGTACTCAATGAATAGAGTTAATAAAGTTAGATAAGATTTAACTATACAATTTCTATGACATTTTCATCATATTTTATTACATGTAATTAAATATAATTAATTCTTTATAAATATTAAAAATAATAAATTCTGTTTGTTTTATAAATAAATTATTCATAAAATAATTAAACAATTTTCAGTCAATTATTTACACAAATATAGCTATTATTTATACAAATCTAATATTAGGGATTTGGTTAAATAATTTACAAAAAATATATATTATTGTATACTGTATAAGCACCGTATGGGCCGTGACTTAAACATCAACCACAAGTGGTGATCCGCATTCAATGACTGTCCCATTGGTGTAATTGTTTTCAATTTTAATTTTTTTGTTGGGATTAAGACCGGAAGGCATAAAGTCGAGATAACTGTCCCGAAAGCCCTCCTGAACACGATTTTCCAAATAAAACAAATCGACAAAAGTGTTCAATAGATTCAGAAATCTTCCGTTTGCTTCACATATTGTCGGATACTTGAGATGTAGATATCGTTTCAATAAATACATATATATTTTTTGCTCCATCCTGGTCAAGGTGATAATATTGTTTAATTAATACAAATGTGTGATTTGATTATAGTGTGTATAACTCACTTAATTGCTTCCTTATCGATTAAGTCATCATGGTCAGGGTTGAATAGCACAATAGCAGTCATCTGAAATGAATAATATGAATGATAATTGTGAAATATAATGTAACACTTATTGAGTTATGTGTGATAATTACCAAATCAAGCACTCGATGATCGGAATCCAATTCATACTTCAAAACCTTTAAGTACTCCTTAAGTCGCGAATAAACGGATTCACTATTTGTGCGGATATTTTCCAATCGCAACATAACTGTATTCCGGGTATCCTTTGGGTACAAAAAATACAATTAGTTTTAATTTAGATTATATAATTGTTAACTTTATATAATGTAGTTTGCATTTAAACCAATACAATCATAGTTAAAAGTAGACTGACCAGCTTCATATTCCAACTCTCGGTGTGTGTGTCATAATAAGTGGCCGATCGCATGGTGTAAATCTGAATGCAGGAGTGTTTGATGAGTTTAATGCGATCCTCTTTGCAGATGTTGTTGAAGGCGATCAACATCTTTGACAAACGGATTATGTTTTTAATCTCTTCGACGCATTTCAAGTCGAGGGCGTAGAGGATGTCGTGCATTGTCTTGGCCTCGGATGTCGGGTAAGACGTGTGGCTCTGGTGTCCGACATGTTTGGTGGCGTTGAACAACTCGTTCAGACGATTGCACTCTAACTCGTTGTAGGAGTGGCTGAAGTCGTTGATGGGTCGGGCGATGGGTATGACCGACAGCTCCAGTTCCACCGCTTTCTGGTATATCGATGATGAGAAGCGCTCGAAGTCGATGCCTATGCGGTGGGTGTTGGCCGGGTAGTTGGGTATGTTTGCCGTGGCGCTGGTGATGGGGTGCCCGATGATGGCACCGGGAGTGTCCATCGTGTCCATCGTGTCATCATACGTACGTTTATTGCGGTTTTGTTCAATTTTCATGCGCCGACATTCCTTGGCCTCGTCGTTCCAGATCCACTCCTAAGGTATCGGTGCTCTCGGTTAGTAAGTGATTAGGGGTCGACCCCCTTATATGAGGGGAACGGGTGCTCACCTTTTTCATGCCGCACTCAATGCACTTATTTAGGCGACAAAAAGCACACATCCGTCGCATGACTATATCGATGACACAATTGGACTGGAATTTGCATTTTGGTATTTTCTGGGGTAACAAATAATTTAGTTAACTTTTTTGTGCATGATCAAAATTATGTCAACTCATTGTGAACTAATTATCAATCACGAGTGGGTGCACTACATATACAGACTGGGAGGGGGAAGGGATGTGTAATAAAAGTACTCAAAAGATATAATATTCTTGAGATAATCAGTGCATTTCATACAGTACTCAGAAGTTAGGTTAAGAAGGGACGGGTAGGTAAGGGCTAGATTATGGGGAGCTTACAGTTTAAAATAGTTTTATTTTATAAATAGTAATGATTTTAAGACTTACTTTGAGAGCATTTCGACGAAAAAATGCTTTACAGGACTCACACGTGAGTGCATTGAAATTGTAGCCTAAATATAGAAATTCATACATTAATTAAAGTCATATTAATTTATAAAACACGTCAATATGTTTTTCTAAATGTTATTTCATGAAATACTGTAAAATGTAATTTTTAGAAATAAAAATAAAACTAACCTGTTGCTTTATCGCCACACACCACACAATACTTATTGTTCATAGTCCGGGGCATCATTTAATTAAAAAGTTTGAATATTTTTTATGAAACTTAAAACAGAAATAAATAGACAACACAAACTAAATAACACTTATTAATGTCTGATTAAAACTGTTATACGAATGGCATTAAAAACATATATCAATAACAGAAAAAGTGTATTGAAACTATCCTAAATATCCTTGACAACATTTGCCTGAATATGGTCTCTAAGACAACGATAGTTATAATCTATTTGTACTTATGTTTTTGTAACACTATTTAGTAACTATTAACATTAAAAGTTATATAAAAATATTTATTTTATCTATTGGTACATTGATATGTGTGGTGTGTATGAAGTCTGCAATTAATGCCACCAATTGTATTATTAGATGAAAACACACTATTTAGTAACTATTAACATTAAAAGTTATATAAAAATATTTATTTTATCTATTGGTACATTGATATGTGTGGTGTGTATGAAGTCTGCAATTAATGCCACCAATTGTATTATTAGATGAAAACCATAACATTTGTTATATTTGTTTGCTTTTATGTGATTAAACAGATAATTAAGTTTTGTTTGCAAGTTGTGTTTTTAACTATATATAAAATATTTTAAACTTTTTAAATATAATATTTTTTGTATTAAATCATATTTATTTTATGGTTGGTAATAAAAATTATATAATAATGAGTCATTATATGATATATAATATCTCTTAAAATGAAATATTCTCTCTCTCTCTCTCTCTCTCTCTCTCTCTCCATAATCTGTAACCCCTCCCTGTGCCAAAACATATACATTTCAATCATATTTCAATAATATAATATATTTTTTACAATAGTGTGCTAATATAGATAAGAGTGAAGAGTTAATATATAATATATGAAATAGCAGTTAACATTTAGTTCACATTAGATAAGAAGTTAAGTATTTGTTTGTGAACTATTTTATATTAGTACAGTATAAGGCTTAAATGTTTAGGACAAAACGATGTGCTTAACACAATATACCAAAAGGCGGTTCAAATGGAAATGGCTGTCCTTCCCATCGCCAGACCTACTCTCGACTCTGACCATACATTTAGCGAATTAGAAGGCAATCGATTCACGGAATTACTATTTGCCACGAAATGCATGAAAAATGAATTGAAAACTATGTACACATCGGAGGTGTTCTCAGTCGACGACTATTTCGTGACATTAGACCAGAAGTGCGAACAAGAAGTGCGCAAATTAATCAAATCATATAAATCGTTGATATGTTTCAACGAGATATGTGAGCAGGATCGTAATAAGCTCATCAAAACACAAAGCGTTCAGATTTATAAACTCAGATCAGTTGCATATTTTGATGAATTCAATGAGTGTTGGAATGTTGAGCTGGTACATTGACATTTTTATATTTTACTCTATCTGTATGATCATTTAAATAATATAATACATCTAAAATCGTGAAATGTTAAGTCAGAAAAGGGTTGAAAAGTTATTTATATAAACTTTACATAATAAACTTAAGAGCTATGTCTAAATATAATGTCATATAAAAACATGTAATTTTGATTAATGAAAAATAAACTAAATAGGACGAAAACAATATAATTAAAGTTAGAATTAACATAATGCAAAAGAATGGAGGTTTTTACCTGGAACTTATTGAATATTTTAAGCAATTAAAATTCGAAATAGACCTCGATCAACAAATATTGGATCTGGTAAATATCATTTTAAAACATATGTTAAATCTCAATTAATTGTATCCATTCTTATATAAATTAAAATTATTACTAAATAAAAGTAAATATCCCTCTAAATCCTGTTAGAAATCCTATTTACAGATAATACACTAAAATACAGCAGACAAGTGATAATTAATAATTTTATTTTCTTGATATTAATATTGTTCAAGACTAACAAAATAAAATAGATAAGTCCTATTAGAAACATTATACTTAAAATATATATTGATCAAATAAAAAGTAATATCATTATAACACTAAAACTATTGTATAATAATATCTCAAATGTTTATATTATTCCACAGATGACAGCAATAATTCTGTTTAACCCTGATATCAATGGTCTAATCAACCGAGAGGCTATCAGGTAACTATCAATCTAATGATAATAATACAAAATATTTTTAATTATATTTGTAACTTACTAGTAATTAATTTAATAAATTGTACATGACTGGTCCTACCTCGTTTTGTTAATGTACGTAAATGACTTTGCAATAGATGTTTAGTTCAAGTCGAGATATACGCTCAGTTTGCCTTTCAAAAACTCTGAAAATTTATCAAATGACTTTTTGGGCGCTTTTGACAAAAGGATACGACAAACACATGCTGGCAGACCTCGCAATCGGATCCCTGACCTCATACAAGAGATTCTTGACCTGGATAATAATTGTCATTATAATAGCATTAGTGAGACCGAATATAACATCACTATTCTTCAATGATATCTACATTTCATTAGTTTTCAAGCAATCGGATCCCTGACCTCATACAAGAGATTCTGGACCTGGATAATAATTGTCATTATAATAGCATTAGTGAGACCGAATATAACATCACTATTCTTCAATGATATCTACATTTCATTAGTTTTCAGTATCAATCTATCATTAAGATACACTTATTTATATTAAAAATGTATTCATTTAATTTGGCTATTGTTTATATACTTGTTGTAATAATAATAACAGCTTATAAGACATTATTATGATAATGAAATATTATTATTATGCCATGATTTTTAAAATAGCATTTGCTCTTAATACTAATTATTAAGAACTTACTAATTATTCTACATTACTTATAGGTAAGGGTGCAAGGATGAAATGTTTCATAAAAACATTAAAGAATTAATATATTTTACTGAATTATTTAACCTGAAACTAAATTTCAGGGAAAATCACCCTTATATACTCAAACTTTTCAGTTTAAGGATCTTTTAATAATAAAAAAATTAAGACTAGTATAAATTTTAATATAATTTTAATATAAATTACCTAAACTAAAATTATTCTTGGGAATTTAAATATTAATCATTTTATTTTGAGTTTTAATTACATTTATAAGATAAGTAATTTTAATCTAAAAGTAAAATATTTAACTCAAAACCAAATATTTCGCTGAAATCTATATTATTACTGAAATTTTAAACCTTACTTATAAGATTCATACTTATAATCTATTTTTTTATTATTATCATATAACTATGATATATGATGTAATTTGGGTAGAAATGACATCAATATGATCTTTTACATTAAATAACTATAAGATTACGTATACCTACAAATAACTAACATAATTCAATATCGTTAGACAATTTACACCTGACAATAATTAGTGGTGTTTGTATTGTATTATTTTTAATGTATTTATAGATTATTATAAACTAATTTAAGACAAAACAATAGTTCTATTATTAATTTAAATAGACAATATTTGTAATTTATCCACTTGGTTTTAACAGTAATAAAAGTTTGATGTAAGCGTTATTTTTACCACTTTCCATAGACTTTTATTTTATGGATCATAAAAACTATTAATTTATTTTTAGGTTTGAACTAGTTCATTACCTATTAATTTCAGTTAAATTAGCAATATTTATAAATCTCCACGTAAACCAAAAATTATTAATTTATCACAAGTAAAATATAACTACAGTAGATAATATTAGTCCTCAAAAGTACACAACTCTAATAAGTTATATAAAAATTTATATAAACCAGGTCTTATCTCTCTCTGAAATACATTGCAATCAACTATAAGTAACACCTTAAGGCACATTAGGTATCATTGTATCAAATGCACTCAATTTTATGAACATTTATAAATAAGATATAAAACACATAATATGATATTATAGTTATACTATACAGTATTATAACTTACTTTATCTTCGTGTAGCAAAACAGGATTTGTAAATTCGGAATATGACATGATTATATTTTATCAAGTGTTTGTTTATGAATTGAAGAATAGATTACACTTGATTTACAATTGACGATAAAGTATATAATATATAATTAACTCTTCACTCTTATCTATATTAGCACACTATTGTAAAATATATATTATATTATTGAGATATGATTGAAATGTATATGTTTTGGCACAGGGAGGGGTTGCAGATTCTGGAGAGAGAGAGAGAGAGAGAGAGAGAGAGAGAGAGAGAGAATATTTCATTTTAAGAGATATTATATATCATATAATGACTCATTATTATATAATTTTTATTAACAGCCATAAAATAAATATGATTTAATACAAAAAATATTATATTTAAAAAGTTTAAAATATTTTATATATAGTTAAAAACACAACTTGCAAACAAAACTTAATTATCTATTTAATCACATAAAAGCAAACAAATATAACAAATGTTATAGTTTTCATCTAATAATACAATTGGTGGCATTAATTGCAGACTTCATACACACCACACATATCAATGTACCAATAGATTTTTATTTATAAAAATATATTGAAAATTACAATTATCAATGATTTATCACTTACAAAAACATAAGTACAAATAGATTATAACTATCGTTGTCTTAGAGACCATATTCAGGCAAATGTTGTCAAGGATTTCAATACACTTTTTCTGTTATTGATATATGTTTTTAATGCCATTCGTATAACAGTTTTAATCAGACAGTAATAAGTGTTATTTAGTTTGTGTTGTCTATTTATTTCTGTTTTAAGTTTCATAAAAAAATTCAAACTTTTTAATTAAATGATGCCCCGGACTATGAACAATAAGTATTGCGTGGTGTGTGGCGATAAAGCAACAGGTTAGTTTTATTTTAAAATTAAAAATAAAAGTTTTCACAGTATTTCATGAAATAACATTTAGAAAAACATATTGACGTGTTGTATAAATTACTATGACTTTAATTAATGTATGAATTTCTATATTTAGGCTACAATTTCAATGCACTCACGTGTGAGTCCTGTAAAGCATTTTTTCGCCGAAATGCTCTCAAAGTAAGTCTTAAAATCATTACTATTTATAAAATAAAACTATTTTAAACTGTAAGCTCCCCATAATCTAGCCCTTACCTACCCGTCCCTTCTTAACCTAACTTCTGAGTACTGTACTGATTATCTCCAGAATATTATATCTTTTGAGTACTTTTATAACACATCCCTTCCCCCTCCCAGTCAGTATATGTAGTGCACCCACTCGTGATTGATAATTAGTTCATAATGAGTTGACATAATTTTGATCATGCACAAAAAAGTTAACTAAATTATTTGTTACCCCAGAAAATACCAAAATGCAAATTCCAGTCCAATTGTGTCATCGATATAGTCATGCGACGGATGTGTGCTTTTTGTCGCCTAAATAAGTGCATTGAGTGCGGCATGAAAAAGGTGAGCACCCGTTCCCCTCGTATAAGGGGGTCGACCCCTAATCACTTACTAACCGAGAGCACCGGTACCCTAGGAGTGGATCTGGAACGACGAGGCCAAGGAGTGTCGGCGCATGAAAATTGAACAAAACCGCAATAAACGCACGTATGATGACACGATGGATACTCCCGATGCCATTATCGGGCACCCCATCACCAGCGCCACGGCAAACATACCCAACTACCCGGCCAACACCCATCGCATAGGCATCGACTTTGAGCGCTTCTCATCATCGATATACCAGAAAGCGGTGGAACTGGAGCTGTCGGTCATACCCATCGCTCGACCCATCAACGACTTCAGCCACTCCTACAACGAGTTAGAGTGTAATCGTCTGAACGAGTTGTTCAACGCCACCAAACATGTCGGACACCAGAGCCACACGTCTTACCCGACATCCGAGGCCAAGACAATGCACGACATCCTCTACGCCCTCGACTTGAAATGCGTCGAAG